TGAATTTTATAATCATGACATATATATGATGTTTTATAACTTGATTTATTACGAGTGGAATTTTTGGCGTTAAGAGCTAAACACAAACAAGAGATGTTGATGGAGTCTTGACTTTGATTATACAATATTACAAACTATGTGGTGAGTATTTTTGGTCATATTTTTATGTATAAAATGGCTATTTGTGTGCGAAAACAAAACAAAAATTTTAAGTGAAGAAGTACAATATTGACTTTTGAGGCACAAAGTGACAAACTATCAAACAAATATTTATTTTTCTATTACTAAAATAGAGTAGAAACCATCTAAGGATAAAACATAGATTGAACATTCATTTTTGTTTTACTAAAACAAGAGTTAAAATTAATAGGGTAGTATTCCGCATAACACTTATACCTTTCATTCAAAATTTAACTTGTATTTTTGAAAAGGAAAAACAAATCACTTCACCTTTATAAAAGATAAAGTAAAAGAAAAACAACTCGTTCCGCTGTAGCACTGGCTCAAATGAAATATCAAAGTCTTCATTCCCGGGTTCGAACCCCGGCAGCGGATTTTTTGGCATCGGGGGTAGCAACAACAACATCTTTTCCCTTTTTATTTTAAATTCTTTATATTTGCAATATGATTTTCAGGTTTTTGGTATTAAGGGTTTTAATTACATTTCTTTTTTCTCTTTCTCAATCTTCTCATTTTATATTTATATTTCTTATTTTATTAAAAATAATTTGATTTTTCCAAGAGGATATACTCCCTCATATCTTTATTTGGAGTAAAATCAATAATAAATGATAGACTCGACATTAGCATAACGTGAGATTCTTTTGTTTAGAGGTTTTTATATTATAAAGAAGAATAGAAAATCAAGAGAGAAGGATAATTTTACAATTGATGAAATAAATATTAAATTATTGTTGATAGATAAACACACTCTAATCTAAAGAATATACGCACCTTTAGGGGGTGTATTGGTTGTGGACTCTGTAAGATTTTTTTAGATTTTTAAAATCTGCGAATATTCAATCTAGATTTAAAAGAGTCTCTAAAAATAATGTGGTATTCAATAAGGATTCTAAAAAGTCTTAAGAAATTTTTAGATATTCAACAATCCATGAATTTTAATAGTCTATAGATTTTCTTTGATTCTCTTCCAAAAATTTAAATAGATTTCCCTCTTCAAAATCTTTCCTAACAAGAGATTTCTACCGAGAACCTGAAGACGAAAGTTTAGAAGAAAAAAAACCTTCATTGTTCTTTTAACAAAGGTAGTACACAAAGCTTTTGCTCCTCTTTTGTTTTGGGATAATGTGATTTTAAGAGTTCCATGTTTTTATTCCCTAAATAAAAATTGACACTGTATATGTACATTTTACGTAATGTACACTGTTATCATTAATAATGTAAATGCACCCGAACTCCTATTTTGAGAATAAAAACATAGAACTTCTATTTTGGTATATTTTTAATATTTTACTTCTACTTTAGTCTTTTTCTCGTAAAAAAACTCAATAATAAAGTAATATGAATGTAATTATTGTTTATTGAAGAGTATGAGAAGAAGAGCATCTTAATTATGAAGTATCATATAAGTAAGAGTGAATTCCCAAAACGGTCCTTTCTAAGTAATAATTACTTGCATGATTATTTATAATTTAGTTTATTTCCTAAATGGTCTTTCGTCGAAAATATTTATTAAATGTCATTAAATTTGAATGTTCCTTCCGTCCCAATTTATATTGTCTGTTTCGGTTTACGATATTTGATTGAAATTATTTTATACGAAAAATGATATAGAATTAAATAAAAAACTTACATATTAAAAAACTACATCAAAAGATTTACAAAACTAGTGGTGACATGAGTATTTAATTTTATCAAATGACAAAGGAAAATAGAGAAAGAAAGTGAATAATGTTTGACCCTATGAATACTAAGCACGCACTATAATTTGGGACGGAGGAAGTATTTTGGTATTTATATCATCAAGACTTAAAGTATATTCTCAAAATGCTTCTTTAAAATTAAGTCATTTTACAAATAGATAATTTCTAAGTAAATGTGATCCCGAAATGAAGTCCATGAGCCTACCAGGGTGAGTCGGTTCCTCTAGCAACCTCCTACTTAATTTAAAAAGTTTATTTTGAAAACTTATTCATAATTTAGATAATGGATAATATAAGAATACCTTACATTTAACTATAATTTAATAGATACTTTTGACAAAAGACTATTTAAGAAATACATCTCAGTTACAAAGGACCACGTTGATAATTATTATTTATTGAGGACTAATTTAAGAAAATACTCTATTAAAAAGGACCTTTTGAAAATTTACTCTATAAGTAATTATTGCTTATTGTAGAACGATTTAGAAAAACGCTAAAGGACCATTTTGGAATTCACTCAAAGATAAATTAAGAGAAACAATGTAAATCACTTAATATCTTCCATATAAATGATGAAAATTTCATTACGAAATTTCATAATGGAAGTGCTTAGCTTTAAAAAGAAGATACTCCATAATAAATACTCGTTTTAAAAAGAGTTTGACATCGTTTATTAAAGAAGATACTCCAAATTTAATAGATACTTTGGAGTATAGTTTAAGAAGGAAAATATCGTTTTTGAAAGAATGGAAATAAACTTTGGGTTATGGTTCTGTCTGAATGGAAACAGAGCAAGAAGATTTGCAGAAAAATCTGATATGCTGAAATGCAGTGTTTGATGAAGAAAATGAATACCCAGATGATCAACTCTGAAGTGCAGAGGCTGAGACAATCTTTAAACATGGTGTCCTTCCCAGATTGCAGTGGGGGCATTAGCTGCAACACAATAAACACATTGTTTTAAAAAGAAAATGACATATACTCCCTCCATGCCAAAATGAT